GGTATAATAAGAGATATTGAAATATAGTATCAAATTAACAACATCTAAAATAAAAGTTGAATGATTAAAAAAAAACAAGTATTATACACAACTTCTATTTAAATAGCACATCAATTAAACTTGTAATCTGATTCAAATAAATTGGATTTCCTATTGCAACAAAATGGCAAATGGTTTAAAACTCAAAATTCTCAACATACCTCGATTGCTTTGCATAACCTGATTTAAGTGTTTGAAAATATACTAAGAACTATTAACGCATAAGAAATGTCAACAATTGTTTAATTATCTAGTCGGATCCATTAAGATCTCAATTCAGAAATATTGGTTATAAAAAGCACCAAAAATATAGAATTAGTACATATTACATTTTCTCGGATGGTTTTATTGGTTTACAATTCTGCAAACGTGTCAGCGCTCTATGGTAATGAGTGAGGCAGCAGGTTTAGAGCTTTATACACTTTAAAAATGCTGAATTTTCTACAGTTTGCCGGGAGGGTTTCATAACGTCTTTCTTCAACCCTTTACTTTGATATTGATTTAAAACTGTTTTAAGCATACAATACCATAAATTGATAAGTCACCATTACATTGTGTACTTGTATGTATGTGTAAGTTATTGTTGTAACTTTTATGATGACCATTTATTATAGGTATGTGATGTAACTGTTATAAATTTTAATGTGTCTTGACAATATTATTGTTTAAAGTTAAGATTAAGCCACTCTAACCACTTAATAAATAGCATCAAATGCGGACTATTCAATATTGTGATTTAATGTTTTTATTTCATTGAGAATAAGAGGGAGATGATCTTGAAAAGTTGGTACATTAAGTGAATAAGCGAATATAAATTTAGTAGCAGTGTGTATGTTTTCAGTGTTTCCATGAACAGGCTCAATCAAACCGAGCCTGCAACATCTTCAATTTTGCCGTGTTGGTCTTTCTTTGGGGATTCTATATTTATCTATTTTTTGGACTTGTTAACTAGTTACTCTAGCTACCTGTTGATACAACGCATGTAACGTTGGTTACTTTAATGTTGAACCAGAGTGCATAACCTTATTAGCAATGAATTTACGATTTGAGTACGAAAGACCGGTGAGGACATTTAAACTACATGAATTCCCAATTTCAGCTTCATGAATTTTCTATTTCAACTTCACGAATTCACGATTTCAACTTCATGAATTCACTATTTCTACTTCATGAATTCACGATTTTATCTTCATGAAATTAAAATCTTGATTTTGTGGAGATGAAATCGTGAATTCGTGAAAATGAAATCTTGAATTCATGAAGTTGAAATCGAGAATTCCTACACTTAAAATCGTTAATCCATGAAGTTGATTCATGAAGTTGAAATCGTCTTTTCGTGAAATTGAAATCGTGAATTCACGAATTAAATTCATGAGGTTAAAATCGTGAATACTTTAAGTAAATAGAAATCGTGAATTCATGAATCTGACATGAAGATAAAATCGGGAATTCAAGAAGTTGAAATAGCCCTACCTGTCTTTTGTATTTTAGACATATGTTGAACGATGCAGTTGTTCAAATATATCAACATAATAAAACAGTGAACGATATAATAAATCAGTCCTTGAAGTCAAAACTCTTTGGATTTGTGATTATTTGTTTAAATATCCAAAGATGACTAGCACAAATAAGGTTATTTCAACATATTCTGATTTTTTATTCCCACAAAGGCTTGAAACAAGGGGATCTTAGCTTATCTTTTATATTTATGCTCTTCGTCAATGACAGGCCTCATAATGATATTTACACGGACGTAGAAGGACTTTTACTTTAATCAAACGTAGACATTTTTATTTTATTTGAAGGCGATCGAGCATGCTTTGCTAAATCCACCGAATCTCTACAGACAATGCTAACGGAAATGGAAACATATAATACATGAGGTTTACAATAAGTACGTCTGAAACAAAAGCAATTTTGTACTCGTCATATTTTTGTATTTATAGCACACCAATAGAACTTGTAGGATCATTCAATTACCTAAAAACTATAATAAAAAAATCTCTTAAATAGAATTTGTTAAGAACCCAAACTTGAATGACGAACTCTGAATACTTGATCTTTTGTCGTCTGTTTCAATGAAAATTAGGTGTGCCCTACGCTTAATCTTTTGTATTTGGCAAATAAAAAATGTTTCTTTCAACCTATTTTTCTATATAACTTGATTGATTGTTAATCAGCACGATCAAATTTGCTGCTATCTTTATTTGAATTATTCAGTAAACCGTATCACCCTGGATGATCAAGTTTGTCATGTGATGCACAAATGCAAACGCTGAATTATTATTTTGTCACACATGGACCCGATTTCAGGTAATCATTTGCAGATATCTTTTTTCCCAATGCGACACAAAAACAAGACATAGACCGTAGGACCCGACGTAAATTAAGCTTTTATGTGAGTAGTCATTACTAGACTTTAGTAGTTTTTAGAACACTTCGACACAAATGTTCTTTTCGCAAAGCAAACGCCGAAATGTTTTACTTTTTCCAATCATTGTTTCCACTGGAAATACATGTTGAAGTAAAATAATAGAGGATATGTCTTTTTAAATGCCATACCGGCCCCTAACTCATTTATAATTCCATTAGCAAAGTTATATTTGACATAAACCCATGTTATTCCCCGTATTGTCTAATTTGCAAACGTCGTTTGAACATGTAAAATATGCAAATGCCGGTTGAACATATCAAATATAAAGACCTAAAGACTTTTATTTGCGAGACTTGTGGAAAAGAGATGAAAAGCAAAATGGGGACATGCACTTCATGAAAGACGACATGCAGGCCTCGGTCGTTGTTACTGCTGCGGGAAACAATTTCCAAATAAAGATGCTATAACCAGGCATAGGTATTATATTTAAAATCGCCCACCCCCAACCAAAAAGGTAAAGAAGAAGCCACTTATAGGGGATACATATCTCATGATATTCTATTACAATATAAACTGCATGAATGGTTTTAACCATATAATGTTGTTTACACAGAATTCAGATTCTTAAAATAAGTTCACCATTTTTGTCATACACAATATATATTTGATGGAACTAAACTGGAAAAGTATCGTTTTGAAGTTTAATTTGATAAAATACTGATGTGCGAATTTCTGTTTTTTTCTGTTCTCCGCGTCTGATGTCCTTTGCGTCCACATATAAATGTTTACCTAAAACATGTGTCATGCACACTCATACGAGTTACACACACCGATCAGTTTTATCATTTATGTCGACATAGGATAAACAAAAAAATCAGTTATACTTAAAACCATGCTTAATAGATTGTGATAAATCAAGAGTGTTATAAAGCGTCTTGTATTCGTTTAAAAAAATGCCGAAAAAACACACAATCATTTTGTGTTTTCCCCTCTTTTTCAAATAACTTTAGTTTGGCTTTTTATATAAAATTGACCTCACCATTGTAAGCTCTGTTGTTAAACATATAACTTTTATACTTTATATTATATACCTTACGCAGCGCCGCACGTGGAGGTCTATAAAATGACATATAGACCTCGACATAAGTCTATAATTGTATAATATAGTGACCTACAGAAAACAGTTAATATGCAATAATTGGCGTACTAAGCTTTGTTGCGAAAATAATACTTCTAAAAATCTAATATTTATGAGTTATATATACGTGCTCATCCGTTGCCTCTCATTAAAAATACTAAATATCTATTTTATTATTAACCCTTTTAGAAAAAAGGTTTTAATAACACTATTGTTTTATTTTTAATTATTATTCTTATTATAAACTTACAGTTTATATTCAATAATAATATAAAATAAACACTAAACTTGAAATACGTAGTTCTTTTTGTTAATTGGAAATCTTTGGCGAGTCTATATTCCTTAAAAATGTCCTAATCGATTCAGTACAATTATTCGTAATAGTCTTGAAGACAAATGATATTCATCAACCAAGACACTGTTCATTCATCAATGCCCATTCTAGAAGTTAACAACATTTTGCTTTATTTTTGAGGACGACGTTGGCTATATAAATAGGAGACCTCAATGATGTCTGCAGTGGTGAAAGTTTATGTTTCGTCTATTTTGATTTGGTGTTTGCTTTGGCGTGAGTTTTCGTCCGAGGCGTTTACTTTTAAATAAAGGTGAACGGTATGTTTGTGCGAACGGTGATTTTCTTGGTGAAAATTTACGCTTTTTCAGTGATGTTGGCTTGAGGGAAAAATCATCGCCGGCGTAAATATGTCTAACTTGATAAGGTTTATGTTTGCGTTTTGGGCGATGCAACGCAAGTTTTGACTTCAACTTCGCCATCTTAAATAAGAAACAAACTAAATTTACTTATGCATGTAAAATATAGTCCAGCGTTCAAAAAGACATCGACGGGCGCTTGCATATATTTCAAATGACCAACCGACGTTTGCACATTTTACATGATCAAAGGACGTTTGCGAAATCGGCAATAAGTGGAAAAACATGGGTTTATAACGAATATAGCTTTGCTAATGGAATTATAAATAAGTAAGGGACGAGAATTACTTGTAAAAAGACCTATCTTCTATTATTTTCCCTCTACATTGGTTTCCAGTGAACAAAAAAGATTAGAAAAGGTAAAACCTATCGGCGTCTGCCTTGAAAAAAGAAAATTTGTTTCGAAGTGTTCTAAAAGAACACTTAAGTCTCACAATTACTACCTACATGAAATAAAAGCTCAATTAACGCCGGGTCCTAAGGTCTAGGTATTAATAGTGTGGATGCAGTACAAAAAAGATATCTTCAAATAATTACCTGAAATCGGGTCCGTGTTTGCTGAAATGTTAAATCGGCGTTTGTATTTGTTCATCCAGTCAACTCTTATTCAATTTCGTATCGTACGCATTACTATTTGCTATAAGCAATATATTTTGCTTAATGCTTAATGAAATTCGTATCATTATTCGTATTGTTTTTAAATAACTTAGGTTTTCATAATGTTTAAGTTTTACTTACCATGAAGTCCTTTTTCTTTTTCTCCCAAATACCGTTATTATTCTACAAACGAAACAAATACAAATTATAGATTACAAATTATAATTCATGATGTATGCCAAAAAGCTTTTATATTTTGATTCACACTAAGAAACTGCCTCTTACTTTTTTTTAGAGATACACATACCTTATATAAATGATCCATAAATCTAAATTCACTTTCATACAAGAGGAATTAAACATTCTGATTATTTAAGAAAAATTTACAAAGAATTTTCTGAAAAACTACACATACAAGTGTATGACCAGCAATAAATTGGCTCGTCAGACGAAGGCGTCAGTAGCTCCTGTTATTTATTCAGTAATCAATGGTTTTCTTTTTTAAAAATTGCTGTAAATAGACATTTTTTACAGTTTTAGAAAAATTAAATCATTTTTTAGAATTTTCTAAATTGTTTGCATCATTAGTAAAATTTAATGGTGAATTCAAAAATAGAAGGAACATATAAGTTGACGTGTTAGATTTTTTTTGTAAAATGGCAGTTTCCATGGTACCCGTATATATCAAAACCTTCAAAATAGCCACACTATGTATTAAGAATGATACAGCTTATTACACACAACAAGAACAATTTATGCAAAGATAAAACGATTGACAATCCGAATATATTTCTTTAAAATATGAGTTTTCAAGTTTCTTATCAAAACAAAAAATGAGAAAAATAAATATGAATTCTGTAAATAATCCAAAATATTGAAAAATTTCTATAGAATTTTCTAAATCTTTTGTTTGAGAAGTAAAATTTAATGATGAAATAAGAAAAAAATATATGTTGTAAAGTTGCAGTTTCCATGCTAACCTTAAATATCTCAAAATTGTCAAAATAGCCACACTGTTATAAAAATGTATTAGACAGCTTATAACACATAACAAGCACAATTTTGTACAAAAATAACTTTATCAAAAAATTCAGTATGAAACAAACAATAATCTGAACATATTTCTTAAAAAAATGAGTTTTGCATGCTTGTAAATGAAAATATCGAAGAATTTCTTTCATAGAATTTTCTTCATTTTTGATGTACCAAGTAAAATGTTACGGTGAATTCAAAAAATATATCTTGACGTGTTAGATTTTTGTAAACGGTCAGTTTCCATGGTAACCGAATACGCATCAAGCGGTGACTCACTTTTGTCATTATCACTAGTGGCTGGGGTTATCGCGCGAAATCATCAATTTTGTCATACTAATGGAAGAAGAAATCTTTTTTCTGATGTTGTCTAAACGACTCTCTTATTCTCTTGACCCAATCTCCTCCTGAACATTTAGAAATATTTATTTTGTATTAATTACTCATCATTTATTTTGTACAAAAAATTAATTCAGTTATCCGAGTACTATTCTTTTTTTCTGAAGAGAAATTATCCGTCATTATCTCCCCTGGATGCGCATTACGATGCACACAAAATACTACCGAAACGTCTTTAACATGCTCCACTGATGATTTATAAGACGCCTCTGTACATCGGAACTTCAGTTCACTACTGTATCTATATAGATTACAGATCAAATACAGAGTTTTAAGAAATCTATTTTCTAGCAAACAAAGTGAAGCAAGAAATTGAGTTTCTTAAATTTCTGTGTATAACCTATAACCGACTTACAGTTAGACCCACCCATTCAAATCGAGTGCATTATGAAAATAGTGCATTAAATCTGCTCATGTAACGTATACATTTAATGCATACAGATGAGTTACAACACTGTATGGTAAATATTTTGGCAAAATTAATACAAAATGGAGCAATTTCATTTGCAGACAAACTTTGGCGAACCGTTAATAGACTTAAGAATGACAAAGGCATGCACTTTCGGTTTTTATTTTGACAAAGTATTAATTTAAAGACGCCTGCATAGACCCGTATATTCATATCGCCGTTTGCAATGTGTAAATTGTTTGCTTGAAATTATTTAACTTTTAATAACTGTTCATAAAAATAAGATTAAATATGGAAGCAAGCAGCTTTAATCGCAAATGCATATCAACCTATACAAGTAAGTCTGCACTGTTATAATATCCGAAAATTACAAATTGTGTAAGATAGCTTATTAAAAACGAAATAACCGTACACAGTGTTAATGTTATCTAAAATGTTATTTCATGTGGGTTCCTATCATGGTTTAAATTTAGACGTTACTATTGTTATACGCATAAGATACCTTAGTGTTCTAAACGTTTAACATTTCAATATGCTAAAGAGTACACCAGATTCAGCTAGGTGGTTCGTTAGATGTCAAGCAAACAGCCCTTTTGTTAAATCTTTATCTCATTTTAAATCATTCAGAAAACTGGAAGGAGCTAAGAATTCTTGTAAAAGAACACCAAACAACCAAATCTGTATGCCGTATAAAGGTTATCTGTATTTAAATGAATAATAACGATCTTAACAAACTATGTGAAGTAAACCCAGGTTACAATTTATGGGAAATGTCGGTTGAAGCATATTTGTATATTAAACTCCGGCAGCCATCTCAATTGGCACACCAGAACGAGTTTAACACTTTATGTCAAGAACCATATAATCATAATTCTTGTAAACGTTTATCAATATCTATCAATAATTTTTATGTTCTTTTTAAAAAACAACGTTTGCGTTTTCTCATTGTTTATTTTTAAAGTTTCATTTCTGCTAAATAGTTTTAATTTCCTTCTGTCCGTTTTAAAGATAGAAAATGAACACGCAATTTTGAAATTAACATATAAGCACTTAGAGTTATCTTGCATTTGACCTGTGCTCTTCACATCAGCTCATTGTGGCCACGTACTTTTAATTTATCTCCATTTTACAAAAGATATTGTGCGAATTTTTAAATTCATACAACGACAAAGTGGGAGATTGTCCTTGGCCAGGGGAAGGTCAAACCTGCACTCTAAACATCGTCTCCTTATACCAAGTACAATAAATTTCCTTCCGTTGGTACAAAATATTCAGAGAAGACACGACATTGCTCACAGACGGACGGACGGATTGACGGACATTCACCATGATTTGAGATTCTGGGTATTTTTCTTTGTTCTTCTTTGATCTCACAATCCCTTAAACCAGCATGTTTTCACCTCATAGATATCCTGTCTTATCACAAGTACAACAGAATAAACACTGCTATTCTTCCAATAATGACACCAGACGCTCAGGTGAAAAACAATATACGCGGAATTTCTTTCGGGTAAATAAAAACAACTTATGTCTATTCGATTCTTCATATCTTATGTTTAATATCATCATTAAAAAAATGTTACGAATAAACTTAATAACTTGATATTTTTGTGTACCTAGTGTAGGGGGTGGAATTTAGAATTACCCTTGTCCGTCTGGCCGTTCCTCCTTCCGTCAGTCTGACCGTTCTCATCTTGAGTCGCACGTAGCTTAAAATGTATTTGACCTAGAGTCATGAAACTTTACAGGAATATTGGTCAGCATATCTAGTTGTGTACCAGAGTGTTCGCGATTGTGGATATTTGTAGAGATATTGGCCTTGACTTAGTAAAAATTATCAAATTGTGTCGCACGTAGCTAAAATGTATTTGACCTAGGGTTATGAAACCTTAAATGAATGTAAGACTTGTTTAAGTGTGCAACAGCTTTTGATTGGTGATTATTTAATCCGTTGACCAAAAAAAGAAGACACTTAATGCAAAAAAACAATAGTTTCAGGAAACGATAAATAATTTTAGCATAATTGATAAAGAACATTTTGGAATACATATGCATTGGTTCATCAGACGGGGCGTAAATAGCTGCAGTGTTTCTTAAAAGATAAACCAATCGTTATAAGAATTACAGTAAATGACATTTTATTATGATACACAGATAATTAAAAATAACTCTCAAGAGTTGAAAAGACTGTGTCAATTCGAAAATCATATGAACGCTAGTAGTAACCCTTTACTTAAAGCTGCATACCTAAAGATGAACCAAACTTTTTTATCAATGTAAAATTTGTGGAAAATGATCTAAGATTTAAGTCTGAAATAAATTATGATTCAAGATTATTGGCAGTCTATGTTTGATTAATGGTAGATCTTGCTGGATAAGAATTATTGATATTCTTAAAATCTCTCACGTCACGTTAACATCGCCGCCATTTTAAGCAACGTCTTGGACGGAAGAGTTTCCGACGTTACATAAAAAACAAATTTATTTTGAAGACATTAACGATAAATATATTAAGTAAATATTCCGGATTAAAAAAGTTGTTAAATTGACAGGACACCATTGTTGAGAATCACTACGCTACGCATTGCTACATTTATATGAAAATTGAAGATGAAAAATAAACAAAATAACAAGATTCCAGCGCATTTCTTACTTGGTTTCCTGAATACTGAGCAATTCTCAACATAGTAAAGATCATGAAGCTGCAGATGTACGTGGTAAGTTTAAAGATGTTACGCAACAAGATGACAGAAACAGCGCCTATGGTTAAGAAGTGGAAAGTCTCGCATCAATCATTCAAGAAGGATTTAATTTACCAAAGCCTGAGTTATTGACAAATTCATTAAAAAAAATGAGACCAACATTGAGTGCAAAGTAAGTGACAATAGGTTAAGATTAAGTTATCTAATAAAATATTGCACTTGTGAGGCAAAGTCTTGCTAAGAAGATCGCGTGTTATTGGATTCAAAATGTAGGGTATTACTGAGCTAAATCAATTTTGCAATATTTTTATGGAAAGCCACACGCTGTTTCAAGGAGTCATATTGATAAATTGATTTGCCTAATATTAATTCATCTGATGTGATTAGCTTTAGATTTGCAAAAATGTCAAATGACACTTTAACAACTAGGTTTTTTTCTGATGTAGATAACTCTGACAATTTAAGGCGCATTGTAAGGTGTCTCCCTATGCATTTGAGATCAAGATGGGCAGAGGTAGCTAACTCTATTTGTGAGTCTGACAGAGAATATATATATATATATATACGGTTGCGTATATATATATATATATATATATATATATATATATATATATATATATATATATATATATATAATATAT